GGGAAAAGAACTGGGGAACCAAAGTTAAAGTTGAGGGAAGCAAGAAATAAACTTTTAAACATCAAGAAGCAGCATCCTGTGTAAGTGATTTCATCAGCATTTGAAATAGCATAAAATCTTTTTTACTTTAATATCACTTTGGGCAGGAACCAGTCATGGACTGCCTTACCAAACCCTCGATTGTCCTTGTTGAAGATACAGCTATTTTTTAGGACCCTGCAGATTAAAGGTTGGAAGCTTTCTTTATGGCCTTATTTTTTCTGCCCGGTCCTGCTATTCAACCTGCTGTTACTACAATGGCACTCTGCCAGACCATTGCTGCCTGGACTAGCTCAAGATCTGGAATCCTTTTTGATTGAATCATCTATCCTTCCAACACTTGGAGCTTCTACCCGTGGCCTTACGCTACTGCATGGCTGGATTGACGAGTATGATCCATCAGATTGATAGAATGTCCCTTCCTCTAGCACTGGCTTAGTTGGCACCGCTGATTCTCTCCCGCAGCTCTTCAAGTTCCCCCTTATGCCACCACCAGCCCTGGGAATGGTAACAACTAGGTCTTATTTTCAGGGTAGGTCTTATTTTCGGTGAAACAGGGTAGTTGTTACTCCTTAGTGAAGTATTTTATGCAAGAGGTTGCTCACAACACACCCACCCCTTTTGCTGAAGCCTAAAGCCTCTAGGACAGCGGTGGCCAGAGTGGGCACGTGGGGCCCCCTCTGCTGGCACGCGAGCCCAGGTCCGCATTACCAAAGGGACACAGCGATAGCGGTCCCAGTCCAAATAATATTGTTATACAGTAGTTCCCTCTTTCCCCCACTGAACTGACAGCAGAAGAGAGGGGACTATTTTTTTTTAAATCAAGTCATTTTTTATTAAAGTTTTACACACAGATCACAATACAATGACATATTGCTTTCAACACAACGTGAGTTGCAGCATATCGTCAGAATATTAACAGCAATTAAAACATGGACACGGGAGGAAAGGGTATACATGAACAGAGGACAAGGGGGAGAAATCTTAAGGACAACTTTATATAAAAAAAAGAGAAAAGTAGGGGTAAAGCCTTTGCACAAGTCCCTGTGTCCGCCTCCAAGTCGGCGCCTCTCCCACACCTGGGCGACCCACACGCCTGCATGACATCTTTATCCATTATTAATGCCATATATCAAAACTAATATACCTGGTACATCCTATATAGAACTACACCTGTGTAGGGAAATATCCCATCTAGCACATATCCAACTAGCAAAAATCTCTCACCATTCTCAACTGCCACCTGAGGAATGGGGCACAGATCTGTGCAGCCATCTCGTTCATATATTATGAAATTGAGAGATATTGCCTCTATGCTGAAATATCACTCTTTCAAACGCTACTATTCAGTCAAGCTCTGCTATCCACATGCTTACCGTAGGGATCGTTGAGGAGATCCATTGGAGCGCAATCACTCTACGTGCTGCAAACAGGGCCCTGGATACAGCAGTCAGAGTCATATCGTCCCATAAATCAGCATCCATACTGCCAAGCAAGCATGTGATCGGAGAACAAGAAACCTGAACCGAGAAGACTGAGCTAATAGTTCTAGTGACCCCGCTCCAGTGAGATGGGACTTGGACCACAGAGCCCACCCAAAAGCCATAATAGACCATTTGAGAGCTGCACAGCTCCCCTGAGAGCCTGTACAGACCACCAGAAACCCCACAGAGCCCACTTGAGAGCAGCACAGCCCCCTGAGAGCCCGTACAGACCACCTTAGAATTACAGAGCCTGAGAGTATTCAGGTCTAATTGAAGGGTTGGCACTTTGAGATACATAAGTTGGTTTAGTGATCCAGTTTGGGCACTCCAGCACAAAAAGGTTCGCCATCACTGCTCTAGGACAATATCTTGCCATCTCTGTGTTCTGCCTCACGTGGGTCAGCCAGTGCATTGTTTCACTGTCGCTAGGTGGATTCGACAGATCTTCATCTGGGCCTATGACCTTAAGTTTTACTAGGTGTACATTCAGGCCTCAGCGAACACTGGCTTCATTTGTAAAAATATTCAAGTGGATATGTAGGCTCTTGTTTTGTTTTTGTTTGTTTTTTGGGGGTAGGGGGTGGGGGTTGTTAGCCTTTGTTTGCTCTGGTGTGCAGAGCAAACAAAGGGATGTTGTTCATCCCTCAGTTGGACTGCTTTTAGATGTCTCAATGTACTTGCATACTCCTCCTGTGTCGCCTAATCTACTGGTAAGGAAACATGGGGTTTTTTGGGGGGGTTTTTTCTTTACTCAGCAGATGCCAGCTTCGGGCAGAAAATTCTTCAAGCAAGCCTCCAATATGTTTTACCTTTTTTCCTGCTGTTGTCTCTTATCAGACCAGTTTGCCATTTATTTGCTGTGTTGCCTGCCCCTCAGTTTGACTGCCTTTGGATGACCTATTGATATAAAATAAAAAATTTAGAAGTATGTCACAGGATACAGTTAGAGGAATACAAATCCCAGCAATACATTATAGAGCACCATGTGTGGGAAAGTGCAGGCTTACCTGAGCAGTCTTCCAGCAACTTGCTTCTGAGATCGGACCTGTCTATCGGCGGCTGTCATCCCCCCACACCTGCTCCTCCTTACTACTTCTCCCCACTTCCCTGTGCCGATTGTGGATGTGGGCGGGCAGTAAACGTGAGGCGGGGAGGAGATGCGGCGTGTGGATGCGGGTGGGTCTGGCAGCGGCGTACGTGAGGTGGGGAGGAGGTGCAGCGTGCAGCGTGTGTGGAGCCGTAAACAGGGCCAACCAATCCGAAGCCGATTAATCGATGATTGAAATAGTTGACAACTTTTTCAATAATCGATTATAGTCGATTAGTTGTTGCAGCCCTAGAGGGGTTATACAGGGCTGTCCTAACAGCTTTGATGTACCATTGTCAAATCACCTAAAGGTAGCTGCAAACCCTGTCTGCAGCTACCTTTCTCAGATTAGTACCCAATATCCTATCATGTACTTCAAGGATAGGATTTTACAAGTACAATATGCAGTATAATTTTGTATAAAGTGGGGGCAGATTAAAACTTTTTGTCCAGTTAACCAAGCAGGCATTGAAAAGTATTCTCCAACTTCATTAAGCAGAATGTTTACACTTCTCTTTAAAATAGATGTTTTTTTTTTTAATTATTATTGTGATCTGTCTGCCCATTTGAAAGTATGTTAATGCATTCCCAACCTGGTGAGCACACCATACGTGGGTAAAAACAGCACACAAGCAGGAATTATAGTTTTCATAGGTTCTTACCTTTTTATGGAAGAAACAACAGGTTCCCACTTGACTACACATCAGGGATTAGCTGAGAAACCATATGATCAAATAAAAATTATTCAAACAAAGCTGGCATAACGTATAAAAACAAATCTATTTCAAGAAAATGTATAACCATGATTTACCAAATGTGCACACACATACCCCCCTCCCCAACATTAACAAAACCCCTCCCTATAAAAACACAACACATGTAGGACCAGTTGGGTGCCTGATATGGGCCTATATATATAAAAAAATCATACGCATGTCCTGTGTTAATATAAACAATGTCCGGGTGGTGCTAATCAATTCTAAAACAAATGATTATCCGCACTATAGTGCTCTACCCGAAACTCCTCAACCGCACCCTATTGACAGCTTCAGAGCCAGAGAGAGGCTATATAAACTTCTCCCCCATTATATTAAACAAAAGACACTGTGCTATCTCTAATCCATTACTATAAACCTCTAAGTGCATATACTTAGTGACAATTATACAAAATGTTCACTCCAACTTATATATAGTCCATATAGAAATATTCCCAAAAATGATGTGATCAAAAATGAATGTGATGAAATCCTTGTGTTCACTTTCTTTATATTACATCAGTGAGTCAAATAATAATTGCATATAAAGTTCCACAATCACTCGTGACTTCTGTGCTTCAATTCCTAGTCAATTAATCACCAGTGATCCACCTCCAGGTGCACAAACACTAGCACACTCACCAGATAATTCTGACCACCCAGGTGTTTTTTAAAACACTCTGCAAACTTCCCTGGTGTCCGCTGTCTCCCTCTCCACTGAATCACCAACAGCTGAAAATGATGAGTCTACTCGATGTCTCGCCTGAATCATCACATTCATTTTTGATCACATCATTTTGGGGAATATTTCTATATGGACTATATATAAGTTTGAGTGAACATTTTGTATAATTGTCACTAAGTACATGCACTTAGAGGTTTTATAGTAACGATTAGAGATAGAGCAGGGTGTTAATAAATTGTCTCAGTCCATGAAACTCATAAAACTCGAAAATCAGACATTAGGACAAAAGGCACTGGATGTAATGTAGTCCAACTACTGAGTATATGATCCAATATAAGGTGTCAGAGATGGGTGAATTTTTATCCACTGAAGAAAGTCTCAATAGACATGGTTATAGATGAAGGTGAGTTAAGCTGTGCGTTCTGAGGTGCTTCCTATGAACACACCCTGCTACACTGTATATCTCACTGCCGTTGCATATGTAATTTTTCTTCATCAATTGTAAGATGATTTTGAAGACAAAAGTTGTAAACCACCAGTAGAAATGACTGCAGTTTGAATAAGCATAAACATATATTCTTCCCATGAAGACACCCTAATGCACAATACTACTGACATTTTGACAGAGATGTTTGATAGTGGAAAAACCAATTCATTCTGGTGTATATTCAATATTGAGAAGAAAAGAAACAATTCAATCTGGTGTATATTCAATATTGAGAAGGAAAGAAACAAGTTAAAGTGGATCTCACCAATATAATGTAGTTTATATTGTGTCATGTTTTGTTAATCCATCCAACTTCTACCTTGGACTCCCCCATTTTTTTACATGTTCTCACCTTTCTACACCTTGTTTCCTGAGGTCTAGCTTAATGTATATTAATGCACATATTATTTTGAAAAAAAAAAATATATAGATATATAAAATTATGTATTTATTTATTTTGAAGGCTTGTAGCCTGGCTCGAAGAAACGCTGATGTCTTCTTGAAATACCTGCACAGGAATAGTGTAAACATGCCAGGCATGGTATCACATGTCAAAGCTCCAGAACAACAAGTAAAGAGTAAGTTTCCTTCTAAGCCATATTACTTTTCTACAAGACACATTTTTTAAATGAGTATGTCTAAGAAAGTGTAAACATGGTTAGTTTTGTAAGTTTTCAATAATAATAAATATCAAAAAACATTGGTGATAATTGTTGTTAGCGTTCTGTTCAATTTTCCAGTGGGACCACTGGATTCCTCCTCTCACAGTTCTTCCCTTCCTCCCTGTAAACTCCTTTACCCGGCATCGGATCACTAATTCCAACTTCTAGCTATGCTGTCTACCTTGAATACTGCAAGCATTATCAGGAAAAATAAAAATGTCTGTCCATTTTCTCCTATAGTTTTAAATGTTGCTAGCTTTTACACATATTTTCTGAAACATATCCAGATTAACTTATTTGCGCTGCTTTTTTCCACATAGTTGCATATTTTACATTTCTCAGATACAATGATAATAATGGACATTACTGGCTTGCTTTTTATTATTTAAAGACCAGGGAACAATATAAAAACCAAGACATATTTAAAAAAAAAAAATAAAGTATACAACGGAACATATACATTGCACACATTTACTGCATGAATATGTACAATAATAATAAAAAAAAAAAGTTGTGGGGGGGGGGGGGGTGAGAGAGAGGAAAGGTTGTGTTCTTGCAGCAATACATTATCAGATTTTACAGAGTAAACTGGGCAGTATTCCAAAAGGACTTCATCTTAGGGCAGCTCCGAAAAGCATAATATAAACCTGATTAATATAAACCTGATTTGGAGGAACAGTTAGGAAGTCCCATAATAATGGGCATTTATAAATAAGCACACAATATTGTAAGGCCAGGAATTATAAAGCTGTAACACTGCATTTTCATTATAAATACATTCCCTTTATTTCTACGCTGACAGGTTTATCTATTTTCCTTACATAAAGTGAAAAGCTCATTTTGATTGCTTATATGTTACAAATATGATTTTAACATGTATTGCAGTTATTTACCTGCTTTTATTCTGTAGATTATAAGGCCATACCAGTGAACTTGAGTGAGTGCTTTATGGGAAGATCTACCTTTTAAAATCAACCTTTTGAGATGAAGCTCAACTGCAAGTATTTTGATATAGAGTAGAATTGTGGGCTCTGTGCAGAACTCACACCAAATTTGCCAGGGGGTCAAGAACCTGTTTACCTCTTAAACATATACTGTTTTCGCTGAGAGGGCGCATGCAGGGGCCCCGCTAAGATGGCCGCTTAGCGTGCTGCGCACAACGGCAGCCGCGATACCCCGAGCCCGGCTCTCAGCGGCCCCACATAGACTCACCATTGCTAGAGGTGTTGGCTCCGGTGTCTGGCCGGTGGAGTGAGCTGGCCGCGGGCCGGTATAGTGCTGGGCTCTGTGGCTGCACTCTAGGGGAATATTGGGTGGCTCCTCCCCTCACTCGCTGACAGCTTGTAGCTGCTCCGGACACTGATGCCAGGCGCCCGGCCAGAGGAGTGAGAGTGCTGGGCTGCCTGTGGCTATCGAACAGGTTGGATCCGGTCACCCCAGATGGGATATAAGACAAGCAAGAATGCTCCTCTGGAAATATGATCTTTGCTGACAGAATTACCTCCATATGCTATCCTTTTGGAAGCTGAAGATACAGCATATACGAACTAATGTTACCTGCGATGAGTTCACCTCTCCACAGCTGAATTGCAAGTATCAACTAAAGTTATTAATGTTACACAAAACCATTGATGGGGCCTGTGTCTGTTTAACGGTTTTATGGTTGCCTGGAACTAATTTTGCTTAAAATTGGGCTAAGTGCTTGGTGGACTGTGAATTACATACGTTTCTGCTAGCCGTCAAGGAACATATTACAGACCTCAGAGGCTTTACTCTTCACGGGTTGTTTCTATTTAGGTTGAAACTAGTCTAAACATACAATTGATTGATAAAGTACTTGATGGACTGTTGGTCCCTTACATTGGGGTCTATATACATATCTATAGCGGCTACCATACCTCGATGGCTGGGGGAAGGCCCGAAAAATCTAGAAAACTGCCACAGAAGCAACAGTCTGACACGGAAATCTAAGTTTGCTGCGGCACCATCTTCTTCTCCCATACAGCAGAAACAGACACGAGTCAGGCATGGCGATTTGGAAGATTCCAGTGAGTACAGACTCCCCTGATCAAAAATCACCTGCTTCCACAGTCTCCCTTATTGAGCACACAATAGAGGAGATATTATCCACTCAGAGAAACTTTCCAGTTGAACACAAGTCTTCACGTGCACTGCAGGGTGAATATGGCTCAGTGGATATGGCCGACGATCATCCCCTGATTATTACATTGTCTGATATCGTCTGGGGTTAGCTGGTACCGCAAAGCAAATTATAGCGAAGATTAAAACAGATAAACAGGAATTGGGTACTTGGATTGATGCTATTGAGCAAAAAGTTGATGCTACAGTATTTTGCACCAATAAAAATATTGCTCATATTCAGACTATACAGACAATCTTGAAAACCGATCTCGGAGATGTAATTTTAGGATTGGAGGATTACCAGAATCCATTACTGATCTAGAGGCCACAGTTCAATTGCTTTTGAAGGACATTCTTCCTGACATTCCAGACCATAAGCTTGAATTTGATAGGGTCTACCTGGGCGCCCGGATGGCCCAGCCCGAGATGTTCTTGTTAAACAATATTATTACCAGATTAAAGAAATGCTGATGGTTAAAGTTCGGAATCTCCCTGAACTGCAGATTGCATCTCATCCGATACAAATCTTTGCAGATATTTCCCCTGTTACCATCCAGAAGAGGAGAACTTTAAGGCCCCTTCTTCAAATCTTGACCAAGCACGCTATTAAATACAGATGGGCCTTCCCACTACGAGTGCACTTCTTTTTCAAGAATAAGCCGTATTCCTTTCCTACAGAGGGGGTAAGTGCTGTTTTTGCAATTGGGCTTGCGTGCAACGGAGCCCTCACAGTCAGGCAAGAGTTCTCTGCAAGACACTATGAACAGAGGTAGCACAACTGCCCCGTTACTACCCCTCTGGGAACTAACACGTCCATTGTCTAAAGTCCCTACTACCCCGACTTGATGAGAGCTCATGGGGGTTGGAAATACTGTTGTGCCTCAATTGATAACTACAAGTCCTCCTGGTAGACTGCCAATAGCACACAGCAGGGGATAGTTTAATTGCTGTTTTTTTGTTTTTTTTCTCAAATTCAATTGCTTTTTAACCAGACAGGGTTTATTTGTATTCTATATTAGACTTCAGACCGTTCAAGTGTTAAGTATTCATAGTTTTTTTGTTTTTTTTTGCTAGATGCCACTCTCCCATGAACTTACACTTATGGGGGTTCCCCCCGTTTGGGTAGACCTAGTAAAGTGGAGGTCATTGGTAATGTGTTCAGGGTCTGAATAGCGGGCATATAAGTGATCCTTAGTATCAACTGGCAGTCACGTATTTATGGTGAAGGTGTACTTCTAGGGGGTGGAGGTGTGGCACAATGTATTAGTAGTAGTGATCACTAAACGCATTGAGGTTATATTTGTTAAATGATGGCACCATTTTTTTTCATGAGGGCCCTACATGCACCTTTTAGCACATGCAGAATATGATTCTCGAGCAAAATTTTTTTTCTTATATGGAATAGGGGGTTTAAGGGTTATTCATATTAATTTTTTTAGGTTAGGAAGCATAATGGTAAATTATTTATCTAGAAAAGAGTTAGACGACACACTACTTAATTTTCACTATTTGTTATTAATTTTTATTGATAAGAGGTATTGAATCAATTATACTATTTGGAGCATTTAGTATTTATCACTTAACAACTTACAATTCCTAGAGGAACTAAGGGGCACTAATACTAGATACAGATTTATCAGTTGTTTATTTGGACTGGGATGTCAGGGGTACACTAGTTGAAGTTCATTACCTGTTGACTTATCTACGATCAGACAAGCTTAGACTTTATATGATATCGAGTTCTGAGAAGTACTCATCATGCAGAGCAGGCTGTAGGACGCTATATGAACGGGGTGGGACAGGTCGCCAAAGGTAGGCACTTGCCCCCACTAGACCCGATCAAGGGGGTTTCCCTGCGCCTGCCAAATTAGCTATTTGTACTAGAGCACTACAAAGATTTGAATATCAGATCTATATTAATTGAAGACTACAAGCCCTCTCAGGGGACTGGGGATATTATATATCAGGAAATAGTCTAATTTTTGTTTCTTAAATCTTAAATAGTACTTAAATAGTACTATTGTTTGGCTGGATGGTGTTTACTAACACGCCCGTTGGGAGCTCATATTCCCCTCTTTCTAGACTCCGCTCTCCTGGGACCCTATTTAGGCGGGGGTTGATCCCCGTTTTTGTTTGACCTAGTCGAGCGGAAGTCAATACAACTAGCTAGGGCTGAATTCGTGGGTATAAGACATGAGCTTTGGTGGGAACAGGTAGCTATCTGGGTGTGATGAATGTATACTCCTGTGGAGGGTGGACGTGGCATAGGGTGATCTTTCTGGAAGCAATCATTACATTTCTTGAGACTGGATTGATGGCTATTAAATAAGCTCTGTCTATAGACACTTTCTATCTTCTACTTTGGGTGAGATAGGAATGGGCGATCTAATGGTTATTCACATGTATTTAAGTTATAATAAATTGGTTATTTACTCATATGCTGCTTGAAACACTATACAGTTTAAATTAATCGTCATTATGTGCTATCACATGATAGTTATGGATATCAGTTATTTAATTAATTGTTGCCGTTCTGACTACTTATTGATTAATATTTAATATATATTAATTTAGACTTCTTACAGAAATCAAGGAGTGTTAACATTGTAGACTTGTGTAGTCATCTTTTGTACCTGGGGGCCTGGGGTTCAGTAGCCCTAATCAGCTAGTTATCTGGAATAGTCTATAAACATAGACTTTATATTAGGTTGAATTTAGAGTAATATTAGCTGCTTACTTTACATTTGTTTATCTTTGGTGTTATATAGCCGGGG